GTTGTGAACTTGTAAAACATAGTAGATCATCTTATCCTTTAAGTAATAAAAGAAGCAACCTTCCTTTTGAAATTGTGCATACCAATGTTTGGGGCCCTACCATACTCCCACCATGGGGGGGGTATAGATATTTCTTATTATTTGTTGATGACTATACCCGTTTTTCATGGGTCTATCTTATGCACTCTCGAGATGAGGTCCCCTTTCTGACCCAAGCTTTCCATCAGATGATCCTAACTCAATTTGAAACCAAGATCAAGATTCTTAGATACGATAATGCCAAGGAATACTTTGCAAAACCCTTGGCATCCTATCTCCTTGATTATGGGATCATTCATCAGAGCACCTGTCCTCGCACACCTCAGCAAAACGGGGTTGTTGAGAGAAAAAGTAGGCATATTTTAGAGGTAGCCAGAAGCATCATGCTCAACTCCAATGTTCCCATGCGCTTTTGGGGAGATGCAATCCATACAACCATATACCTCATTAATAGGGTTCCTTCACAGGTCCTAAACACGCAAACCCCGTTCAATCTTCTATATCCAGATAAGGACCTATTCACTATTCCCCTCAAACTTTTGGGTGTACTTGTTTTGTTCAAATCCTTGGACCTCGTCGCTCCAAGTTGATCCCAAAGCCACTAACTGTATTTTCCTTGGGTATGCACAAAGTCAAAAAGGATATTGTTGTTATGAGCCAGTTTCAGGGAAGCGCTTTGTGTCCATGGATGTCACCTTCTTTGAGGATATGCCCTACTATCATAAGGCTTCTCCTTAGGGGGAGAGTAGTGAGGAAGGGATTTCAGTTTCAGCTCCAAGAGTTCCTTTACCTGTCCCGGTTACTGAGGGAGGGAGTTGCGAAGAAGGTTGTCAAAAATACAAGGAGTTGAGAGTGTATCACAGAAAGTGGTGGAGGTAGGTTGGTTCTCGTACTCAACAGCAATCCAGACCAGTTCCAACATCTTCTGCATCTCCAGATCCAAACACCACTACTGCTCCCACTGTTGATCCCACTGTTACAGATGTTTAGACTTCACTGACAGATGACCTTGATCTTCCAATTGCTATTCGTAAAGGGAAGCGTTGTTGCACCTCATCCACTGCCCATTACATCTCCAAGTTCCTTTCCTATAATTGTCTCTCAGAATCCTATAGATCTTACTTGGCATCTATTTTTGCTATTCCTATACCCAGAAAAGTGCAAGAAGCTCTTTTGATACCTGAATGGAAGGAAGCAGTGCAAGCAGAGATGGATGCTCTTGTCAAGAACAACACATGGGAACTAGTTAACTAGCCTGAAGGAAAGAAACCTGTTGGATGCAGATGGGTGTTACTGTGAAATATAATGCTGATGGTATTGTAGAGAGGTATAAGGCCAGATTGGTTGCAAAGGGTTTCACACAAACTTATGGAATAGACTATATAGAAACCTTTGCACATGTTGCAAAAATGAACACTATTTCAGCTGGATGTTAAGAATTCCTTCCTCAATGGAGACTTGCAAGAGGAAGTATACATTGAGTTACCCCCTGGGTTTTATAGTACAGAAGTACGAAAGAAAGTTTGCCTTTTGAAGAAGGCCTTGAACAAGCTGAAACAATCCCTGAGAGCTTGGTTTGATAGGTTTAGACTCTGGCTTTGGACAAATTCGGATACATACAAGCTCAATTAGATCACACTCTCTTCTTTAAGAAGATAGGTATTCCTTGACTCTACTTGTAGTCTATGTAGATGACATTGTGATAACAGGAAGTGACACTAGTGAAATTGAAACCCTTAAACAGCACCTTCACAAGGAATTTGAAGTAAAAGACCTAGGAAAGTTACACTATTTCCTAGGAATTGAGGTAGCTCGATCTAAGCATGACATTTTCATCTCCCAAAGGAAGTATGTTCTGGACTTATTGGAAGAAACTGACAAGTTAGAAGTGAAGCCTGCTGATACTCCCATTGAGCCTAACCATAAGATAAGTGTAGAAAGTGGAGAACTCCTTGAGGACAGGGCTATGTGCCAAAGGCTGGTTGAGATACTTCTTTATCTCTGTCTAACCCGACCAGATATTTCTTATGCCGTCAGTGTTGTCAGTCAATACATGCAGAATAATGGTCGGGGAGAGGTATACTCTTCAAGAATAATGGTCATATGAAAATAGAAGTGTATATAGATGTGGATTGGGCTGGATGTGTTGATGATATGAGGTCCACCTCTGGATATTGTGCATTTGTGGGGGCAAATCTTGTTTCGTAGAGAAGCAAGAAACAAAATGTTGTTGCTCGCTCCAGTGCAGAAGCAAAATACAGATCCATGGCTAATGGTGTTGTAGAAGTGTTATGACTGAGATCCTTGCTTAATGAGTTGGAGGTTGATTATGAGAAGCCTTTGATGTTGTATTGTGATAATCAAGCTGCAATTAATATTGCCCACAACCCAATACAACATGATAGGACTAAGCATATGGAGGTTGACAAACATTTTATCCGAGAGCGAGTCGCATCTCAAGAAGTATGCCTTCCTTACATTGCCTCAGACATGCAGTTAGCTGATCTCTTCACCAAAGCAGTCACAAAAGGCAAATTGGAGACAGATCTACGCAAATTGGGCATGACAAATATCTACTCCCAACTTGAGGGGGAGTGAAGAAATAGTTGGTTAGCCACGAGTGTGGGGTTCTATACCCACACTCAGGCTCTAGTATGTGTGGTTTCATACCCACACCTAGTTGTTTCTAATTTCTTTTAGTAGTAGTTTCTAATTTCTTTTATTAGAAGTTTTTAATTTCTTTTAAGTTGGGCTGGCTGGCCTTATTGTTTCTAATTTTTGTTTATTTCCTATTCTTGTAAGGAACCTAAAGCTATAAATAAAGAAGTGTATGGGGCGGCAGATTATTAACCACCGAACCCCTTCTTTCTTTTCTCCTCTCTTCACTCTTCTCTCTCTCTCTCTCTTTTCTTCTCTTCGAACCTGTATTACTTCTCTAATACAGTAAACAGTTCTTCTTCTTCTTCTTTCAAGTGAGCTTAATGATACCCTCTTAAGGAGGTTTCCATTCGATTGACAGTTTAGGTCTTATACTAGAACTTTTGGCAACTGCTTCCCAATTTCTCCATAAATCATCAAAGGAGAATGGAGAAAATAGTTCCAAGGTCTTTACCCAATTAATGGCTCTATTAATTAAGCAATCCCATACAATGATATCGTTCCTTTCCTTTCCATCAAAGATCTTGGCATTTCTTTCTTCCCAAATAGTCCATACCCCATTGCATCCTAGAGACCTACAACAAAGGGACAAGATATTAGTAAATTGTAACAACTTTCTCCACTTGCTTTGCAAAGGACACACCAGTTGGGGGAAAATTGAGACAAGGCCTTCTTCTTTGTAGGTTGTCCAAGGTGTTTAGTTTTTCAAGTGAGGCCTCCCAACAAGGGGCTTCCACTTCAGGGGGAACAGGTTTAGGCCAGACCTCTTTACAAGGGAAAGGCTGAGAGCTAGGGATAGAGCATAAAGAAGAGAAAAAGGAAGCGCAAGAGAATGTACTCGAAGGATTAGGGGACCAAATACGAGCTTCCGATTTAGAAGGGTCCAGACAGATAGGATCAAGCAAACATAGTAACTGTGCTGTTTGGTTAAGCTCAGAATCTCTTAAATCTCTCTTGAGACCCAAATCCCAACTTAAACTAGAAGATAAGGAGGAGACAAATCGTTAAACTGGTTCATTTTTAAAGCGAGAGAGGGAATACAAAGGAGGAAAAAGGTCCTTGAGGGTTGAATTTAAGTCCTCCCAGAAAAGAACCCTATCTCTAGTTACCTGATTAAGTTTAAGAATTGTGGAAGAAGGCCATAGATTTCCTTCCAAGGAGAGTTCAATGTAGCCCATTGAGAAATGCTAGTATCCCAGCCATTGCCTTCTGCTCTGAGAAATTCGACCCCCCCCCTGAGTCACATAATTTCTCTTCCAGGCCACCAGTTTCTTAACTCACCTTTCAACCACGGGATTCCACAAGCTTCCCTCCCTAGGATTGGCTCCTAATGGTAAGCCCAAGTATCTCAAAGGCCAACTAGATGTCAGACAACCTAACGCCTCAGCTACCTCATCCAATTCCTCCTCCTCTAAATTGAGCCCCACTTCACAACTCTTTTTGAAATTGATTTTTAGCTTTGATACAACCTCAAACAGCTTTATCACCCCTTTCAAATTCCTTGCTATCCGAGGGTCCCCAGTCTCACAAAAGAGGATAGTGTCGTCTGCAAACTGTAGGTGTGTAACAATAACGCCCTCTCTTCCAACCCTCCATCCTCTAATCAGATTCAGCCTGTCCGCTCTCAAAATAAGTCTACTAAAAACATCTGCTAACAAGGTAAAGAGGAAGGGAGAGAGGGGATCCCCTTGTCTCAGTCCTGTAGTAGCTGGAAAGAAATCTCTAACCACTCCATTAACCAACACAGAATAATGAGCAGTTGTCAAACAGCCTTCAATCCAGCCACGCCACCTATCTCCAAAACCAAAATTCCTCAAAACTTCCATCAAGAATGACCAATCTACTAGAATGAGATTAACCTTGACTATAAATGTTTTATTTTTTTGATAATTGAATGGTGGTTTTATTAACAAGATGAGAAAACTGTTACAAGCATCCCAAGGAGAGGCACGAGGTGCAACCTTGCATATAAATGTTCATATAACAATTCTAAAATTTTCATTTCATATAAAGATATTGGCATGGATATGGCACTGAAGATTGAACAAAACAGAATGGTGAAGCAGGATTCATGTAGCTGACCCCATATAGTTGGGACAAGGCTTATATGATGATAATGATGATTATATCCTATTAATGAGAAAATAAAGAATATAAAGTTGTAGCTGAATACATGTCATTACATCTCATTCTTTTTGGTGCTGCCATCCTCAACTTCATGCTTTATTTGTGTCATACTGCTTCTTGGTAGGATTTTCTTTTTGCCTTTTATTTAAGTTGTAGTTTTGATTCCTTGTTTGCAGATTGGGGACCTAAGATTGATGTGGTTGGTTTTTGCTTTCTTGACCTTGCATCAAATTATGAGCCTCCAAAAGATCTTGTAGAATGGCTTGAAAGAGGTTCAGAACCTATCTACATTGGGTTTGGTAGCCTTGTAAGTTTTTATTTTGGTTCTTTCTTTGATTCTGCGTACCTCTCTGTTTTGATTGTAACCAGAAATTATTGGCAAAGAACCAAATCAAAAAGGAATATGCAATAATAGGCAAAGGCTCTTAAGAGCTATGGCCAAAAACAACAAAAGATGAAATGAAAAATCCCACAAATGGAGCACAAAACACTAGAGGTCACATCAAACTTCTCCTCCAGGGAAAAAGTTAAATTTCATATCAACTTTCCTGCAGATGACAAACTAAAAAAAAAAAAAATACTACCAAAAAGGTTTCCAGAAATGTAAACTTCCATATCCCTGTTTTATGTTGGTGAAGACTCTAGCGCTCTTTCCTGTTGAATTGTCATACAGGATTTTTTTTTTCTTGAAACTTTCTCATTATTAGTAATAATGAAGATCAGAGTATCGCATAATAACTTTTTGATTCTCTTCTTCATGTTTCTTTTTTCCTTCCCTCTCCTCTCCTTCCTCCTCTCTTTCTCTTTAATCTTGCTTTTCTTCTCTTGATTTATCAACTTCAGCTTGGTAATAAATCATCCTAGAAGATCCACCTCCTGATCAAACTCTTGATGATGTCCTATTCATGTCATATGGAATACATATGACATCATCTGGTCAGGTGTATAGCTTACTTACAGGACAAAACTTGGAAACACTAGATTTTGGTAAAGGATGATTTTAGGGTAACTTTGGTACTAGTTTGAGATCCTTTTGATGTTATTTTAATTACATTTTTGAAGGCTTTATGGTGAGAAGTATGCGAAAAATCCAACCTGTATTTTTTGATTGATATGTCCGAATATGGTTCAGACTTGAGAAGAATAGAGGAGAAAGAGGAGAAGAATAATAAGCTGTAGGTAGAAGAGGAGAAAACCTCACACTCCTGTTTGGTGAAGAGTACTTATCAATATGTTCCACTTATTAGGCATGTTGTGATATCATAGGTTGTCAAGAAACACCTAGGCAACAAGGCGCCCTTTGGAGGCTTGCCTCACCTAATCGCCAAGCAGTTTCATACATTGTGTTATAAAATATTTTTATATTCTTTATTTTTTAGATTATAATTATAAAATAGACATTGCTAAACTAAAATATTCATTTTGTGCATTTATATACACTTTTTTTATTATTTTCTTATTTGTTAGGTTTTAATCAAAACAGACATTTCTAAATGCTTTATTGAACCCTCAAAGACTTCAAAACCTGAACCAATAAGCAAGGAAGAACTTAACATGAATATGTTGATTTTTTTAATTTTCTTTTCTATCTTCCTTTTGCTTCTCATGAATATGTCGATTTTCTATACTTTAACATGAAGTTTATACTTTTCTTATAAAAACTATGGATAATTATTAAGGAAATGTAGTTATGGAACCTAGGGATATGCTTTTTACTTTAACAAATCCATCGTCTAAGTGATGCTTAGGAACCCACCTAGGCAACTAGGCGACAAGGCGCCCTTCTGTTGCCTAGCCTCGCCTTTGTGCCTTGAAAACTATGTCTGATATATAAAGAGAAGTGTAATCACATGTCTAACTCTGTTAAATTATAAAAGAGGACAGACGAGTGCCCTTACTTGTTTAATACATAAACTCTAATGCTCCCCCCAAGCTGGAGAATATATATCTGTAAACAGAGCCGTTATGGTCAAAACAGCAAGAGAAAGAGAGAAAGAATGAGGAAGAAAAGAGAAGGGCACTGATCTGCTAAGATGAGAAAAAAACAAAATCTCTCATCTAGTAGTTGGCCCATATTTATACTCCACTAATAAAGAGATATTTACATAGTTAACCCTGTTTAATGAAAAATTAGGATTGGAGCGTCCTTGCTTAATGATGGGAAATATCTAATTACGTTACATATCTCTTAATACTCCCCCTCAAACTGGTATGTATATATCATATAGACCTAACTTGCCAGAGATGAAATCAATCCAAGGTTGATGCATGGCTTTGGTCAACAAATCTGCTAGTTGATTATCAGTTTTCAGCCGGGGGGGGGGGGGNGGGGGGCATCTGCTAGTCAGCCATTTAAAGGAGTGTAAATCTTTCATGTGGAAATATAGTTGTTGTCGTCTCTGAAGGGACCTACATTTTGCTGCACTAATGCCCTTGATCCATTAGGCAAATTTCAGCTTAGATACCTTTTCAATGCAGCAAAAGAAAAAAAAAAAAAAGAAAATGCTCTCATTAGGGCATCTTTTAATTAAATATTGACTTGTATAAACTCAGGGAAAACTCAAATACAAAATGGGGGTGTAGGGCTAATGTAGATTGAGGTCTAGGGTCTAGGGTCCAAAGCAGTGAATGGTTTTCTCTGCCACAGGATTCCTAAATGCAGTCATGAATCTAAACAGTATTGCCACTTAATTAATATTTAAGGAATTGAACTTATATTCTGTGCTACTTATGCCAATTAAATGACATAAAATGCAGCTCTGAAATTCAAAGTTGTCACTTTTTAAACTTAGCTTAACCAAAAGCTATGTAGAAAGGACCTTGCTCATACAGTCTGGCCATGTCAGAAACATTGTTGTATTAGCATGTAAGGAAATCCAGGTACCTCTTTCCAGAGTCCAGGCAATATTTAATTTACCGTATATCTCTTGTTTCCCACTATTGGCTGTATTCCATCTTTAATACACTTCCATGCATATGCAGAATAATGAAAACAGTGATATCTAAGAAGAAGAGGAAATAGAAAAAGAGAACACAAGAGAGGAGAGGAATAGTCCAAATCTGAGCTACCCACTTTTCAGTATACTAGTAAATGTGCATGTGTTGCATGTGGCAATTTCCAATGATAATGATAATGATAAAAGAATTTTAACGTTCTTATTAGAGCTCCTGCAACAAAGATAAGTGATCAAATCAGTGTAATTGATATCATAAAAATTAGGTGGTTATCATCATCATGTAAGAGCTTTGTCCAAATTATATGGGATCAACTACATGAATCCCCTTTCACCATTCAATGCTATATCCATCGTTAAATTATGGGCACTTATATTTTTTATTACTTTCACCTAAGTCCTCAATTTATCCTTGGCTTTCTAGTCCCTCCAACATTAAATTGAACACCTTTTTAAACAAATTTATATATGGTTTTACATGCAACTGACCAAACCAATACCTTCTCTCATTTTTCTCCTTTTGGAGCTACTCCTAGGTTCGTTCTTCATATGCTGCCAATCAAGTGGCATTCATTAAAATTCCTTAGTGGGGTATGCTTGGTTAAAATTCTTTTGGTATCATAGCTTTTGGCATAATATATATATATGTAATATTAAAGACATGTTCAAAATTTTTATAAGTTTTATAATTTTTTATATTTTGTATTTTCATTATTTATTTTATGACATTACAATCGTACTTGTTTAATTGGGAGGGAAATGCAAATTGCAATTGACTTTTAGAACATTGGTTATTTGGTTTTATCTTATGGTCAAATCAACTGGTCAAATGGATAAATCCATCACTTAACAATTATTCTGAGTCCATTTACAACCAAACCACTTACTTGCAAAAGACCATTTACTTGGTTATCAACATCGTGGCCTAATTGAACCATTTAACCTAGTTAGTGAAATCACAAATTAGACATTAATTTTTCTAAATTTTATATTCCACTTCTATCATTAATAAAAACAATTTTTATTTATCACATTTAGTTTTTAATATGCCAAATATTAAATATTAGACATGTACCCAAAATTGTTTTATTTTTTTTCATAATTTTTGTATTTCTTTATTTTTATGTTTTTTAATCATGAAACTATGGGTTGACCAATTTGACCCAAATGGTTGAACCATTAACCTACCACCCAAATAGAAAATGGTTACGACTTTGTTTGATTTTAAATTCTATATTCTATTTTCGTCATTGATAAATACTTCATATTTATCATATTTATTTGTTGGGTTGCCCTTGTGTGGCTTGGGCTTTTGCATACTCCATTTGGGCATTTCTATTGTATATATCCTTTTTTTCTCTTTCAATAAAGTTTTAGTTTACAAAAAAATATCATACTTATGTTTAATATGACGATATATAATAATAGTGATGTGTCCAAAATTTTCTACAGATTTTCTTTGTTTTATATGTTTTTATATATTTATGTATTTTTAATTTTTATTATTTAATTATGGCATTTTGGATTGATCCATTTAGCCTAGATGGTTGAACTACTTACCCACCACCTGGATGAAAAAAAAATGGTTTCATTTCTGAGTTGATTTTAAAAATATAGGTTTTTATATTATGAAAATCATTATTTATGGACTTAATTAATAGAATTTAAAAATTAAAAGAAAAAACAAAAATACTTCAAATATAGTATTCAATGATAGAGAATAGGAGTTAATACCTTAAATATGGGATTTAATGTGAGGGAATTGAATAAAATGAATAGTGGATATTGAAATTACATTTTTTGCCCCCAAAATGAAAATTGTCCAAATTCAAAATGAAGGGTATTTTAGCCAAGAAAAATTCTAGAAATCAATAGGAGTTAATACCATAAATATGGGATTTAATGAAAGGGAATTGAATGAATTGAATAGTGGTATTGAAATTACATTTTTACCCCCAAATTAAAGAGTGTCTAAATTCAAAATGTGGGGTATTTTAGTCGAGTAAAATTCCAGAAATCTTTGGCCTCATTTGTGCTTTTTATAGTAGTATAGATATACTTGTGCAAATAATATAGAAGATTGCATATTTGCCCCTACAAGTGAAAAGTAAATGACACTATTACCCCTTTTCTCTAAAATATTACTAGATTCTGCCAAGATCCATGTACATACCTGTTTTATATCATTGCATGAACTAATTATGCATTTATTCTAGGAGGATATATGATTGTATATTAAATTAACCATATAGATGCATTATAGTTTTCTAAATTGATGTTGCAGACACTGAAAATTTCCATATCCTCATATCACCCCTAGGATGTTTTCCCTGATCCTGCGTTGTTTCTTTATTTTTTACCTTTATAAATTGATATGATCCTATTGTAGATTGTATATTTTACCTTTTATGAATTCAACACAGCCTGTTCAAGAGCCTGAGAAGATGACACAAATAATTGTGGAGGCACTGGAAAAAACTGGACAGAGAGGCATCATTGGCAAAGGGTGGGGTGGCCTTGGGAACTGTAAGTCTTATTCCAATATTTGGTCCACTATGTTTCTTATGTAACCTTGTTTTGGTAACTATTTCATATATTTTATTGAGCTTACACTCTGCTTGTAGGAGTGTCATATTTGTTTACCTGGATTTTTTCCCCAGTGGCAGAAGAAAAGGAATTTGTATATTCTCTGGATAACTGCCCTCATGACTGGCTATTCTTACGGTGCAAGGCTGTGGTAAGTCTCATTTCTTTTTGAAGGAAACACAAAAGGGCCAAAGTGGTAGCCCATCCCTTAACCCACGAGCCCCCAACCCTGGTGCTGAGAGTGAAAAGAGAATAATCTGATGAACTTGTTGAAAACCAACATCTACCACCAGTCTGGAACCTCTCATACCAAGCTTGATGTGCTTGTATGAGACCATACATTGATTTCTTGGCGGAGGCCTCATATAAACTGTTCCACACAAATATCCATGTAGAAAGGCATTTTTGACATCCATTTGGTAAACAATCCATTGCTTAATAGCAATGATAGCAAGGATAAGTCTGAAGTAGTCATCTTGGCAATTTGCTTAAATGTCTCTTTGTAGTCAATGCCATGCTCTTCTTCATAACCTTGGGCAACAAGTCAAGCCTTATATCTATCCAAGCTCCCATCAGAATTTAGTTTAATAAATTATACCCAACGACTCCCAATGACGGAAGCATCTGGAAAAGGAACAAGCTCCTAGGCATCATTTTCTAGTGGAGCTTGAATCTCAATGTTGATGGCATCTTTCCAATGCTTAATTACCATAGCCTAGTGGTAAGATCTAGGAATCTCTATGGAGGACAACACAATAGAAAAGGAACTACGTGTAGAAAAAAACCCATAGTGGTTAGGAAGACGGGGAATTTTGGAAGAATGGCGTAAAGGAACAAGAAAGGGAGGTAAAGTGTTGATGAAAGAACAAACTTTGATGAGGAAGGAGGAGAAAGCACTAGTGGTGATGGAAGAAGAGATATAGAAATTGGAATAGCTAGATTCTTCTTGTAGTAAACTTGAAGAGACAGTAAATGAGGCTTAGAGTTACCTACAGAGTCAAAACTATGCATAACAGTGAAGGGTGGTGAAGGTAATTTAACAATGTGTATAATGAAATATAAATTCTCAAGAAAGACAACATTTTGATATATGTAAAGATGTCAGACTTTAGGATCGTAACAAAGAAAACCCTTGTGTCTAAGTTGTACCCATGAAAGCACACAGTTGATTGAGAAGTTTAGCTTAGTGTGCTTATGAGGAGGGAGATGCATAAAAGAAACACAACCAAAAACATGACACATAGAGTAGGGTATACAATGTAAAAGAGAATAAAAAGGAGAGAGATTACCAAAAGCAGAAGGATAAATATTGATGAGATGCACAACTATGCTAGTCGCCTCCACCCGAAAGGTAATATGGACACGGAAATCAAGTAAAGGGAACTCACTACACTAATGTGTCTATTCTTGCATTTAGCAACCCCATTTTGTTGAAGGGTTTTGGGCAAAACATTTGTGACAAAATACCATGATGCTTCATATAGGTTTGCAACTTCCTAATTTCTCCGTCAAAATATTCTCACCTTAATCCGAACGTAAGATACGAATAGTAGCATTATGTTGAATCATTAACATAGTGTGAACATTCTTGGAAGTGATAAAAACTTTTGTTTTCTTTTGGAGAAAATAAACCAAAGTATATTTAGTGCAATCATCAATAAACAATACAAAGTATCTATTACCAAGTTTTGAAATAATTGGAGACGACCAAGCATCACTATGTATTATTTGAAAGGAAATTGTAGCATGCTCAAAAGAAGTGGGAAAAGGCAGAAATATGACTCTAATTGTAACCATAAGTCATACAAGATTTATCAATATTCTTAGAAATTGAAGCAACAGAAGGTAAACAACCAAAAGGAAACAGATGATCCAAATTCTCAGCATGTGTGTGGATTAAACGCCTATGCCATAAATGCCACACATTATTACAATAAGAAAACAGAACATTATTAATAGTCGAGAGCAAACGGCCTCTCAAGTCTACGCCCCTTCCCCTCCACCTCCCTAGTGCATTGGTCTTGTATAATACAACCATCATGAGAAAATAGAGCAAGGCTACCATCATCAACAAGTTGACCAACGGATATGAGATTAGTTGTTAACTAAGGAATAAAGAAAGTTTTGGGAAGATGAAAAAGAGATGCCTGTGAAATAGAGAGCAACAAATCATCACAACCAGCTATTTTTAGAGACTCACCACTAACAGTGATTATTTGGTCATTAGAAGAGTAAAGTTTAGGTGACCGACCAAATGAGGCCCTAGTCATATGTTTTGAGGCAGTTGAATCAATAATCCACATATGGCTGGGACATTGGCTGAGGAATAGATGGTAGAAGACTTACCAGACAGATCGATGGCAAAAAAAAGTAGAGGAAATAACTGAAGACATAAGTTGTCGTATCCTATCCTTCATTATTGTGCCAGGAGATTCCCTCTTTGAAGCTGAAGTGGAGGGAAGAATCCTTTCAAATTATTCTGCAATTGTCTAAATAGGGGGTTGAGTGGGGCATTCAGTGATAATATGTGCCTATTGTTTGAAGTATGTGCAAAAATTTTTCTTCTTATAGTGAGAGGCCACATGTCCAAACTCTTTACATTCATAACGTTGAATCTTGGAGAAATCCTTCTTCCCCTTGGGTTTAGTAGTTAAAAACAGTGTCAAAATCATGTTCTCTCTTGCTATCAAGAGAGAACTGAGTGAACAATCTGGTCTTCTTCCGTAGAAACTCACCAAGAATGGTATTTAGATCAGGCGCATTTTCCCTATTGAGAATACTAGACCTTATCACTTCATAACCTGGCTGGAGATGCATAAGAAAATGCATACAAAGGGCAAAAACTCTGTACATCAGTAAGCTTAGTGTTGAGGGAGATTCTAAACTGGTGATTAACTGGTTACAGGATGAGGGAATGAAAATGTGGATGCATAATAATGACAGGAAGAAATTCAGGTGGTTAACTAGAGATATGGAGGTAAGGACAGGGTGGGTTAAAGGAGTGCAAATGCCTTAGCTGATACATTAGCTAAGCAAGGGGTGGAGACTCATTGTTTTGGGCACAATTGTAAGGGGATTGGGGCTTCTTGGGGGAGAGATAAGAGGTTTTATCTCTCATGAACTTTAACTGTTCTTGAACTTTCTGTACTTACCACATTCTACTCAGATTAATAAAATTTGATGTTATTGATAAAAAAATGCATTATTTTCCTCTGATCAAAATGTTTCTTCATAACCTTCACGCAACAGCCAATACAGACATCTCCAAAATGAAGCAATTAATATTCTATCCAGAGATTAATAAATCCATCATAGTATTCCTGGATTTTCTTCTCCCCCTAAGTGTATGAGAATATGTCCATTTCAATTTGATATTGTCTGGACATATTGGATTGTTGATAGACCTTATCAAGATAGCCATACGTCTGCTTTGCAGTTTTCAGACCCCTCATAGCTATAGCCACATCAATTGTAATCGAACTCAGTATCCAGGAAACAATCTGGGTGTTATTGATTTTCCACTGCATCAATCCCTTAGCATTAGTAGCATCAGAGATGGTTGTGGTGCCATCCAGATAATCCCACATTCCTTTTCCTTCAATAAATAATTGAAAATGAAACTTCTAGAGAGGTAGTTTGTTCCATCAGAGATAGTTTGTTCCATCAAACCTCACAGATATGATACCACTCTTTTCAGACCCCATATTCAGTCAAGAATAGATGTAAACAGCAAACCAAAGGATAATAATCACTGGAGAACAGGTAAAAGGGCTTATGGAAGGAGCAAAAATCCACAGAACACAAAAATAAAAAGTCCCAGAATAATCAAAAGAAATACAAAGCCTGATCAGAGAGCAATATGCTTTGATACCATGTTAACAAATTGCAAGATGTAACCGGGGGAGGGGAGGGGAGAGCCAAGACTGTAGGGTGTGTCTAATGATGGCAGCCCCCAGACAAAGAGTATTTATATTATTGTGTGAAGGACATTTCTGTCCTTACAAGGATGAGATAAATACAACAATATAAAAGGTACAAGAAAACTAGAGTACAAGGAAAGATAAAATTACGTATTAACCCTCATTATCTCTACATTAGAAACATCCACTTCTAGTAGTTACTGCCATGGCAGTATATGGATAGGAGACCCAAAAGAAATTTAAGCAGGAACCTAAGAACATTGTGAAAAGTTTATGTGAAAAGGAAGTGGTAGTAACATTATGTCTTACCATTTTGTTTTCATATGTTGAATCAGAATGATATCTACTTGTACCTTTTATTTAGTTCTTGAATTTATACACTGCAGAATCCATGGTCATGTCATCTATGCCAAATCTAGAACTTTCTATTTCCATGTCTCTACTTAAACCATTGATCAGTGTGGTCAAGGTGCTTAGTAGTCTTGACATGCCTTGCTTAGGAATGACTAGGCATTACCTGGTTAGCCAGAATTAGAAGTATATTTGTTTTGATTTTTCAAAAATATAAAGTTATTGAGTTACTGAAAATTGGATGTGTACATTTATGATAGAAACAACTTTTATAACTTTATTGTTGTATACAAAATATCTGATAACTTGTAATATTTTTGCAATTATCAAAAACTATTTTAAGGTTTAGTACAATATCTTCATGTGCAAATAATATGTTTAAGATTACTATAGGTGGTGTGGATGCATGGAAAATTTTGTGGAGGTGATATTCTTTTATAGCAAAATGCTAATATTCTAATTAATGTTCTGCAATCCTTCCTACTCTGATACTAGTCAATTGCCTATATGCATCTGTTTGTTCAAATTCAAATTCGAATTTGACTTCTCCTATACTAGTCAATCTAAACAGGGTGTTTAGATTGAATTGACCCCCACCCCAAAACGGCCAATATATATTACTGAATATAATATTATGTATAATTACATAAATGCCCTTATAGGGCAGCAATAAAAAATATGAAGAGAACATGATAAGATTCAACAAGAGACTCTGATAATATAATCAACATGCATACTTTACTCCCAAATTCTCTACACCCCCTCAAAATGATAGGATATAAGCATCAGTTTGTCAACAATAAGTGTGCAACTTGGGCAGGCCCAACCCAAGCCCGGACCGACCCTGCCCACAATTTTACATGGGATGGGCTTGGACCCA